CAATTATTTGATGATGTTTTTATAGTTGAAAATAAAAGAAAATCGTTAAATAAAAATGCTAATAATTCTTTTCCACTAGATACCTAAACAAGAAAAATAACAACTTTAAAATTAGACTATCATTCATTCAAAAAGTTCAATGAACTTTTTCGTATGATCAGTATTGATAAGCTTTCAATGACCATTTTGGAAACGATGTCATTGAAAATTTTCCTATTACATGTTGACTTTTAAGATATAAGATTAATCAATTGACTAATGATCAGTTTAAAATAAGCCGATATCGAACGTTTTGACCATACTGAATAAAGTAATGGTAATTGTTTTTTTCTTTAAAGTACCACAAAATATTGTTCCCACATAATACTTAATTAAACTGATGATCTATAATTTTAGTCTCATTTTTTTTATATTGCTTTCAAAAAGCAGAAAAAAAAACACCACAACTCGATTCCACATAGTCAAAATCTTCAATATTAGATCATTTCAAATGCACCAGTGGTTCATTAACTTCTTTCGGAGACCTCAGTAGAATGCCTAAACCTTGCATCGGTACCACTCAGAGAGGCCTTGAGTTCCGCTATAAAATAAGTCTCTTAAAAGTCAACATATAATAGGGAAATTTTCATGAGTATCATTTTCAAAATGGTCATGGAGAACTGGTCAATACTAACTATGGCTTGATTGTTTGACAAAGTTAATTGTTCTCTTTCGAATACTGAAAACCATCGAACACTAGCTAGTTTTATGCCCGAGTTATTTTTGATACAACAAATTTCATTAACTTTTTTGAATGAATAATAAGTCTCAAAATTGATCTCTTCCTAACCTTCATTAAAAATCCATGTAAAAGTAATTGTCGTTGTTTATCAAATTTTGTTATTGAATTTAATTTTAATAATTCATCAAATATATATCCATCTGTAGAATTTTCATCTGTACTTAATATAACATGTTGTTGTAATCAATCTAAACGTAAACTATTTTCTTGTTCACATATTTGTTTATTAATTCGTTCATTTAATTGACGTGCACATTTATATGCTTGTTGTATATATTGATAATCAGGATGATTTACTATTGTATGTTTAAGAATTTTTTCAATTAATAATGGATAACGTGTAACACGTTGTATTGTTTTTGTTAAAAAAACCATGTAATGATAATCCACCAGTTTTATTTTGAAAAATATTTAAATGCGAACGAGATTGTTCATTTAAATCAACTTTGGATTGCAAATATTTATCAGCTTGTGAATGACAATTACAATATTGAAAATAAGTATCAGCCATATATGGTAAATGCGAACAAAGAATTTCACCAATTCGTGTGGATTCATTTATTGTCATAGTTGATGATAACTGAGATGATTGAGGAACAATATTATCATCTAAACGTTCAATACTTATTGGACATATTACTGTTAAATTATTAGCAGATGGAGAACGATGAATATGTTCAATTCCACTGCGACATTTTAATTGACGAACAGGAGGTGAATCTCATATTTGAGGAATCAATGACTGAGGAAGTTTATCGTCAACATACTTAATTGATACCTTTGAATGAAAAGAAAAATCAATGTATATATATATATATATATATATTCATAGATTAACTATATTAAAATTTTAATACTGACTTGTGCAATCGTTGCAATATTTGACATAGATGTTGAACGAAGTGTTCGAATAGATACATCAATATTTGATGTGACTATATGTTCTTTGTATTGTAATTGTTCTTGTAATGTCGATAGAAAAACACTATTGCATGCAATTAAACTAAACCAATTACTAAATAATTGTTCAATTTCATAATCATTTAAAATTCGACCATTACTTAATGGCTTAATAAATTCATTAGCAACAATACGTAAATCATTAATATAACGTTGCTCAGTTTCAATCAGTTCTTGAATAGCTGATATACGTGATGAATTATTTAATGTTTGATGAGATGATATATCAGTTATTAATGTTGATGAATCAGCAATTAATGTAATTGTTGAATCATCACAAAATGGATGTTGAGATGAATCAGCTGTTGTCGGTGTACATGGAATTATGTTTGAAGAACGTTGACATGGAATAGATGAAGCTGGAAAAAAATTATTCAATAAAATATTTATTGTTTTTAGTTTCCTAGAAAAATAATGCACAGGAGACAAGGAGCCATGCTTATTATCATGCATAAAGATGTTTTTTTTCACAACACAAGAAAACAACAAAGAATAAGAGATATCAAAGAGCACTTATAAGCATCTCATATATATATATATATATATATATATTATCTTCATGCAGCCAACATGATTATAACGTTGGTGAGTTTTTAATTCTTTTGTTTTTTTTGTTTTACTCATTCTTGACTTACAACAAGATATCACAAAAGCTGTTTTTTGTTTATACTCTGTATGACGTTTATGTTTGGTAGAGGATGTTGGTAATGATGCTGTAGCTGATGTTAGTATTGGAAAGCAACAGCAAACAAAAGATAGCATTTTTTCGAACATTATCTTCTTCTGTTCATATAATAAATAAATGAAAAGAATTTTTGTTGATTTTTTTTTCTAATTTTCATCCAAGTATATGTAACTAGTTATATATTTCGTTTTTTTTAAAGATATGTGAGATAGAGCAAACTAACAGTAGGCAACACAGAAAAGTATGACTTATAGAGAAGAATAAATATAAGACGATGAATATATAATCAAATCACGCTGATGTGAAAGCATAGAAAAATACTAGTGACTGGTGAAACATATATAGCGACAAACTTGAATCATCAATATCACCAGGTTTTGACAAATTAAAGATAACGATAGAAAAAACAAACAAAAAAGAAATGACTATGAATTTATTGACATATACAAACGACTACTGCATAAAGTATATGTTACAGTTTTTTTTTATCAATGAGAAAAAAGAAAATTATAGAGAGATATGACTTTTACATGAACAATAACAATCAGACCAATACATACAAAAAAAAAGAAAAAAATTAAATAGAATAAAATGCGAATGTATATGGATTGGTTTTAAAAAAATGTCTCTGATTGTATGCAATAAAATATAATGACGACTAGCAACACACAATGTGATGCATTCAATGAGAAGGAAAAGGAGGATGGGGAACGGAGACTAATTTAGAAAATCATAATCGTTTGTGCTCGCTTATGTGTAAATTTATATATATATATATGCATATGTATATGTATATGTATCTGCATTTGGGCACCATTATAATCATCTTCCTAATTGGACTTTATACGAGATGATGCTTTGATATGATGATCATTATTGTTCTAGAAAATGGATAAAATTTGGTAATACACAGAGTGGTCCATAAGTAGTCTTATGATAGAAAATTTAAATATTTTCATTCTGTTCCACTCTACGAGGCTAAGTTTTTTTTCTCGTAATAGAAGAGACTTCAGAGCTTTTTCATAATGAAAGTTACTTTGGCTTGCATATTGTCTATCCTTGCTGGTGTTCGTTACTATAAAGATTTCGATATTTTAGATTCATGTTATGACCTATAAGGTCGCAAAGTTCTTGTAGAGAAAATCGCTGAAGTTTTCTCGATCATGCAAAAAAAAATTAGTCTGATAAAGTAGCACTGATTCAAGCTTTTGTTTATCGTAAAGCTACTTATAGATCATGCTATATATAGAAAATGGAGAAAAACTGTTTTGTTGTGTCTTTCAATTCAATCTATTATCAGAAAAATAATCCACATACATTACTAAAAACTATGAATGAAGTAACTTTCTATACACACTCACTTTATTTGTTGCTAAATAGTTTTATATTAAATTTAATAAAAGATAAGGATATTGTTTGTTTTTTGCTTTTTATTCTACTTACATGGATTATGTGTATCGATTGGTTGTACATAAGTCGATGAAATTAAGCCAACTTGATTACCAAAACGAGCTTTAAACCATCCACTAGTATTTGCTTCATGTAATATTTCTAAAATAGCATCAGCCGGAAAACGTAATTCATCATCTTGTTGAGCTTCATATGGAAATATAGTCATATATTCAGGTAATCCTAAAGAAAACATCGAATATGTTACATATATGTAAACGAAATTATCATTGAAAAGAAAAGAAATTAATTCATTTTTTTTTTGTTGACATTTACTTAATGTATTTTGATGTGAAGTTGTCGATGATAATGATGTCGATGAAACAGCTTCTTGTATTTGTACACAATTAGCAGGAAACTAACCAACACGTACT